ACTTTTGGCTTCTTATTACAGAGAAATCAAAAGATGTCTGGGTCTATTAGTAAACATGTCTTGTATTTTATTAAAAAATTATTCTATGAAGTAGCATGTTTCTAGAGGCTATGAAAAGTATTTATAAACTTGCCAAGCCACAGAATGCTAACGTAAAAGACAGTTCATAGTTGCTTACTTCTTAGTTTTCATTAAAAATTAAGGTTTATAGGGGTTAAAATTCTGGTTAATATATGTGATTAAAGCTATTAAAATTAATAAGGGAAGCATCTTTGCATTCAAAGAAAGTAAGATGTATATTTTTAGTAAAGAAAGTATAAAAAATAGAGATATTTTTGTTTGTTTTGTTAAGAAAGATAAATTTGTCCTAAAATACTAGAAAGGAAAGAAAGCATAGGACAAATTCTGGATGTAAAAAGAAAGTTATAGAAGGTTTGTGGGAGAAGAACTCTGAGGAAAAACTATGCATGGTCAAGTTGGCTAAGATTAAAATGAATTTAATTAAGCAAATGAATTTTGATATCAAAAGTAAGATGTGTAAGACGGTACAAAATTAGAATTTGGTCTTCCTCTCTTTTAAAAGGATAATTTTCTTAAAATTCTAGTCTGCTCTTGATAAAGACATTATAAAAAATTTTTCTTTATTTTGAGTAAATCTACCTGAGTGACAGAAATTCTATTTTGTCATAATAATTTCCTATGTTCAAAATGATGAGGTCTCTCTATTAATGTTTTTAAAAACTGTTTAATTCTCTGTGTTTGCCTTTACTGTGTGGGGGATCAGAATGGGCCACCTCAAAATGTGTCTCTTTGGCTTGATTATTTTTAAGAACAAAGACTCTGAAAGAAACTTTGGCCTTCCCCCAACTGCCTAAAAGAATTTAAGATAGAAGGCCTGTTCCAGGAAGGAGCTAATAGCATAACATAGCATTGTCTATAGCCAGCCCAGCAAATACTTTTGTAACAAACATTTCCATTTGCATCCCCATGTAAATTGCCTTCTCCCCTTTGAAGTCTCAAACCACTACCCTCAGCATCCTCCTTTGTTCTTAGCTAAAGATGCTAATTAAGGCAATGGCTTTGGACTTTCTGGTGAGTTACTCAGCTTTCCTGGGTTTTTCCCATGTACACATGTTGTAAAGCTTTGTTTGATTTTCTCCTATTATTCTCTCTCTCGTCAATTTAATTCTTAGGCCAGCCAGAAGGGCCCAGAGGGTAGAGGAATTGTCTTCCTTCCCTACAAACATCTTATGCTGTCATTTTGGTTAAATGGATAACTAAGCATGATTTCACAGTGAGCTATGATCCTATTTGACCAAGTGTTTTAAAATCTTTTGATATTTTTGACAAACTTCATCTGAGACTTCTCAAAGAATTTATTCTCTCTTCCTATAAAGAGGAAGATATTAAACTAATTAGGCTTATTTCATATGTTAAATTACATGGGAAGCATTGTCAAATAAATGATGATAAACCTTCCTAGGTTATGTTATGTGGGTGGATGTTATTGGTATAAATGTTTTAAAAAATTTGCAACATTCCTAAAATTCTGATCTGTCCTGGTTGTCAGTCATAATTCTAAGTTATTATTTTAAAGCATTGTATGTCACAGAAATAACCAAGTTTCTTTGTAAATTGCCATTTTTGAGTCTTTTGTCATTTGCAAACAGTTGTTGTTTTACTCTGATGTTTTTGCAGATGTATTTCATCTTCGGAGAGATTCATGGAAAGGATTCTGACTCTTACTCTAGAATACAAGTTTCTGATAAACTTTCAGATTATAAAACTGAGCTGGGTAAGAAATTACAGAACTCTACTGGAGAAACTGATGACCTCATAAAACTGCTAATAGAAGATCAAGATAAAGAGTTGGTTACATGGGACTGAATGAACTGATGAGGATGATTATAATTTTTATGACTTTTTGTTTGAAATGTTGCTGATTTTCAAAATGTCTTATTTTTCCAGATTTAAGGAAACATTTTCCTCTTTTCTCTTAAGCTAACTATGACTTATAGCAATTTGGTAAATTATGCATTTGTAAGCAGAATTGAAATATTTATTTTTTCCTCCATGCCTGATCCCTCCACAATTTGGAAACTCTTTGATGAGTAAGTATTCTTATTTTCATGGCACTATAGTTATTTGTATAAATTCAATAAGAATCTGATCTTCTTATAGCAGGACAAAATTGGAAACATTGGTTATATTACCAAGGCTTTGACTGGAATGTCATATTTGAGAGAAATATGCAAGACCAGACAACTTTAACAAGGATTGACTTTATGGAACAAATAAAGCCACTTGGAAATATTGGCCTGGTACCTTGCTTACAAGGTTCCCAGCAAACTTACCAGGTGAGTAAAGAAGTTCACTTCCCTGGCAGGTGCAAGAACCTCAGGATATTTTGGGGACCTCAAGTAGAGAAGAATTCACCCAAATCTATATGTATTTCAGGTAGAGCCTGATGACTAGTCCTTGGCTTGGCTTTCCTGGCCTTGAGACGCCTTGAAAGTTTAATCTGAAGTTCCTTATAAAAAGTTCCAGCAAAGCAGATTTTAAACAGCCTATGTGACCAATTGCTATTCTTGCTGTGCTTATGTAAATAATTGGGTCAAGTTTGCTGAAACTAGAATTATTTTGCCAATCAATTAGTCTTAATTTGGCTCTCTTTGGTAAAAATGATGATTTTAGAGAGAAAAATTATGTTTCAATAGAAACTATAATACAGATTTGTGGATATTAGATTCTAGTTCTGTTAATTATCTATGGAGATTTTATTTTCTACCTGTAAACTGGACTGGATCCTGAATTCTTCTAGTCCCCTCAAATATCTGGCTACAAATCTCCAAACTAACATTTTCAATTTATTTCCATTTGGAATCATTGAGAATTAAAATGACACTTTTTCCTGAAACCCTGCAAACTGAAGTTGGACAGCTTGATATAAACTTAAGAGAGATTCATGCCTGTTGCTGTGTAAGCCACTCAGAAAGATATCTGAACACTGGATGACATCATCAGAGACATTTCAAGCTGGAAAAGATGCTTTGACCCTGTTGTCTAGAAATCTTGACTGACTGTCCCCTGGGCTCAGAAACTGGTTTATAATTTGCTCCAACAATTACACTTGTTTTTCTTTCTGTTTATCTATAAATACTTATTAAATACCTGGTTACTTGCTTACACATTATAGGCCTAACTTTGGGAGCCCACCTGCATCACTGCCTTACCAAGAGACTAGTTCCATGAGAGGCAACAACCTAAGCCCTTTACCAGTGGGAAGCAGCTAGAATGGTTGTCACTCATTTCCCTCAACAGTGAAGAATGAACAACAAAAAGGGGGGTGGTTTGTAACCATGGGCCCTCTAGGACCATTTCAACTGACCCCATCTTATCAACAGAGTAACAAGAGTGGTTTTTCAGGAGCATAAAAACGAGCCCTTGTCCAGTTCAGGCCAGTTGAGACCATTAACCCATTAAATGGGCCTGTAGAAATGCCCAATAAGTGATCCTTTTGACATAAGGGACTGAAAACTCCACCCTCATACTAACACCACCATTTTGTGAACATGCATCCTATGAAGAGCCATGAAGCTTGATTATGCTTGCACAGATCATCAGTTACCTCACTTCTCCTTATGTCTCATCATCTATCTAGACACTTTAGACTGCCCTGCCTTTCATCCCATAAATTTTGCCCCAAGACCTAGATCATGGAGACAAATCTGAGACCATATACCACCTGTCTCCTTGCACATCAATCTCACAATAAATCTGTATTCTTTTCTCAAAATCCCATGCTGTAAGAATTGGCTCTTTATACACCTTGGGCAACAGAACCCCAACTTTGTGTGGTCACAAACATGTAGAGGTGCTTGGAGGGTAGCAATCTGGAGAGGGCATGGAAGCTTTGTGCCTCTTCTCACATACTTTGCTCTATGCATCACTTCAGTCTGGCTGTTCCTGAGTTATATCCTTTATAATAAATCAGTAATACAGTAAGTAAAATGTTTTCCTGAGTCCTGTGTGCTGCTCTAACAAATTAATTGAAACTGAAAAAAGAGTCTTGGGAACCTCTAGTCTCAAGGAGGTCTGTCAGAAGCAGAGGACTTTCAATTGGACTTGCAATTGGTGTCTGGGGTGGGGAGTGCAGTCTTGTAGGACTGAGCCCTTAACCTGTGGGATCTGATGCTATCTCTGAGTGGATAGTGTCAGAATTGAGTTAAATTTTGGGACACTCAACTGCTGTCTGGAGAATCTGAGACTTTCTTGGTGTTGGAATCCTCGTTCTCTCCAACATCTGGTCACAGAAGTATTCTATGAGTAGTGAGTGAGTGGTATAAAGAAGAAACAGAGGAAGAGTTTTGACTTTTACAGGCACAAAAATCACCACTTGAGTAACCGACTGTAAGCTTTTTCACCCTTTCACATCAGGTCAGATCAGATTATGTTTGCCTCCTTTGTGAAACTGTCCCTGACTCCACGGACAGAAATAATCATTCCCTCACATGGAACCCTATAGTGTTTTGTGAATTTTATAGTTTTTACTCTACTGTCCAACAATTACTTGTACATGTCAAGCCCCTTGAAGCATGGGGATCTGATCCAGTCCTCTTTGCAGGCCCAGCATTTGTCTTAGGCAATGGCTGGGATGAATGGAGAGCCCTTTTGGGGAGAACTAGTCACGGGCAGAGAAGTAGAGCTCGTTGGGGAGGAGGAGAAGGGAGAGAGGGTATTTGGGGAAGAGATCAGGGTGAGAAAGAGATGGTATTATGAGAGAGGGAGCTTTTGGAGATTTTTGCCTCAGGCCCCTGAATTTCTAGGTCTAACATTGTTAGGCTATGTCTGTTCATTACAAATATCTTTTATCTTAGGTTCCTTAAAATATTTTCCAGCTTGAGTTAATCAGTCTTACCTATACAGCAGCACCTACATTACTGTAGTAAAGATTAAAGTAATGAGTTAAGTAAAGGATTTCTTTTAAACCATATTCTTACCTTCAAGCTCCAGCTGAAAATTAGCAGCCCAAAGGCCTGGCCAAGGGTCAGTGAGCACAGAAAGTGCATTCCAAGGAAGCAGGGCAGTGTTCTCTAGGGATGGCAATTGCAGAGGCTCAAATACCACCGTGTCAGAGGCACATGGGACCTTCAGCAGGGAAACGCTCTTTGTGGGGCTCTTGGTGTCAGTGTGGTAAGTTGGAGCCATTCTGGAAGAATTGCTACTGAGCAGAAACAAACCCTCTGACCCAGCCTGAGGAGGAGGAACTGTAAATGATCACTCAAATGTGGCCTTAGTCATTCTGCAAACCTCAGCTCCCTTGAGTTTATGCAAACTCGAGGGCTGTTTGGAGGAGAACACTGTTCCTTTCTCTGGGTTCATGCCCAACATCTGTGCACACCCATAACTGAGCTCTTCAGCAGACCTTGGCTCTTGTGCTGCTGTGGCTCCTCTGTATGGAGAGAATCTAAAACAGCTGGGCTTGTGGGAACATGGGAAGTGGCTGCAGGGCCAGATGCATCCAGCCCCAAATGGGCTCCTGCTCCTTTGGTGTTCTGCTTTCTGTTCTTGGCTCCTTGCTTGACTCACTTTCTACATTTATGACATAGACAGTTCCTGTCTCGAATTGATGTTTTAAGATTAAAAACAGCAATGTTAATGAAAACACCTTGCCTAGCACATAGTTAGTGCTTAAAAATGTTGGTTCTTCTTGCCTTTCTCCCCAAACTGTATTCATCCAAACCTAAATGCAGAGAGGACAGAACAAAATTCTAGAGCCCAGGTGTGTATTTATTTGTACCTTGCTTTGTCCTACAGAGGATATACTTTCATGGAGGAAGATTACATTTCCTAGTTTTCTTGGCTACCTGGGAAATCAAAATGATCACTGTATTAAACAATCTCTGGGGGGCCGGCCCTGTGGCTGAGTGGTTAAGTTAGTGTGCTCCACTTCAGTGGCCCAGGGTTTTGCTGGTTCAGATCCTGGGCGTGGACATGTCACCACTCATCTGGCCATGCTGAGGCGGCATCCCACATAGCACAACCAGAGGCACTCACGACTAGAATATACAACTATATACTGGGGGGCTTTGGGGAGAAAAAAATAAAATAAAATAAAAAGAAGATTGGTAACAGATGTTAGCTCAAGTGCCAGTCTTTACAAAAAAAATCTCTGAACTGTTAACAGTTCTGCCAACACCCTACCTTGCTCATGTAGGGGAGGAAGACATTTCCTCTACTCGCTCTGTGTTCTTCTGCCCGGAGAACGAATGAATTCACATGAGATTGAATAACAGGAGAAAACTAAACAAAGCTTTATAACATGTATACATGGGAGAGGCTCAGGCAAACTGAGCAACTTGCCAAAATAGTGGAAGTTCTCCCCTTAAATACCACCCTCAGGTAAAGACAAAGGAGGATGTTGGGGATGGGAGGAGTCATCATGGGAGGTTACCAAAAAGTACAGTAAATAAGGGTAAGGTTATTATGCAGATTTAAGCCCTTGCCTTCCACATTGATTAAGAGTTTCTAGAGATAAGTTCATCCCCCCTTCTTCCTGGTACAGAGAGGGAGACACCTTTACAGATGGAGATTTCCTTTACAAATATAAACGTATCTTAACAAAGGGTAAGTAAATTCTACTTTTCAGAGTAGAAAGAGTTTTCCTGTCTGCAGTTTTTTTTTTCTGTTTTATCTCCCCAACCCCCCCGTACACAGTTGTATATCTTAGTTGCAGGTCCTTCTAGTTGTGGGATGTGGGACGCTGCCTCAACGTGGCCTGACGAGCGGTGCCACGTCTGCGCCCAGGATCCGAACCCTGGGCCACTGCAGCGGAGCACGCGAACTTAACCACTCGGCCACGGAGCCGGCCCCTGCAGTTTTTTTTTAAAAAGTAGCCAGCCCCAAATAATCCTCATGTCAAAGAGACATATCTTGGAGTGGTCAATTCCAGTCCCTCACACTCATAACCCACTGCTTTTCTTTCTGGAATTAAGCATAACCGTGCACCCCAGCTGCCATTCCTACCAAAGCTTCTCTTGGCTTCTTTGAATCTGTTCCCATGATGCTTCTTCACTGACACCTCTTCCTCCTGTTTTCAAAAGATTTTTTTCTTTAAATCTCAATCCATTTTTCTTCTTTCTGCTCTCTTCTCTCGGATAATTTCACTTATTCCAGTCCTGTCAACTCTCAGCAACATTTGGTGAACTCACAAGTTCTGAGCATTGACTCACAATCTTTTTCTATAAAGTCCCTGATTCCCAACTGCCTGCTGAGGAGTCTGGCAGTATCAGAGTGTCCTGCACTGCATGTAGCATCTCTCCCCACCTCCGCTATCTGTGTGCTCCGTGCTCCTTGTCTGGTCACGATATCACCATCGTCCACATCTGAAACATCACCTTGGACTAAGGAGGGGGAACGCCCCCCACTTAACAGTGTCATTTATTAATTTAACATTGTGAAATGTGAAGCAAAACAGAGTCACTTATGTCCAAGAGCTTTAAATTGGAGCTGGGGAGCCACGAAGGAAATGGGTCTTGTGCACGTCCTCATGGGGCAGAACATGAACTTTGGAACTGAGTAATGCTGCGAGAAACCACATCACAGTGCTCATCACAGTGATGGACTTTTGCCTCCCTCTAGCTGGACTTAGCAGTCAATTTGTTAGCCAAGATTAGCTTTCTGCTGCCAACCCTCAGTAACATTCTTTGTAATACAAACCTCTCTTCTTTGCCTGTAAAAGCCCCTGATTTTTACTCCCTAGCAGGGACACTATTTGGGTTTCTATTTGAATTCTACTTGAATTGCAGTCCTTTGATACCAAAATAAATGCCTCTCTGCCTCTCATTTTGGCTCTTTATCTTTAGGTTAACAAAATATATTTACTGAGTGCAACTGTAAACAGCGAGTAAACCCACAGTCCTTTTGACCACAGAATTTACAGTTAGTAACTTACTGCTCACATCTGCTTCCTCCACATTCACACATGAACTGCAACATTGCAGAACTTTCTAGCATATCTTCTCTTCTCTGGCCTCTTCCTTTCTGGTTTCTCATGCACTTAGCATATAAATTTTCATCAGCTCACATCAAGTTAGCCCCTGTTTGTTTATGGGCCAAAGTTTGGATGCTTTTGACTGGAATTCAAGGCCATCTTTAACATGACACAGTGCCCTCCATGGACCTCAAATACTAGCTCAACTGAATAACTTACTATCTTCTGTATGCATCCCATAATTCCTGCTTCCCTGCTTCGCTCTTGTTCTCCTGCCAAAAATGCTCTCAATCCAGTTCCATAAAGAGTCAATGCTTTAGCTTTAGCATTTCCTTGGAGCCTTTTTTAAGTTCCACCTGAAAACACTTCTACTGTGAAGCCATATGCTTTTTTAAAATAACAGTTTTGTTGAAATCTAATTCATGTATTATACAATTCACTCATTTAAAGTGTACAGTTCAATGGTTTTCAGTATATTCACAGAGTTGTGTAACCATCACCACAATCAATTTTAGAACATTTTCATCTGTCAAAATTGACTATAGTGGAGGTGTTTTAAATGCAGTCGGAGCTGCCTTTCCAGAGAAATTGCCTTGCTGTCTGGACCTTCAGACTCGGTCAAACCTTTGGACTGGGCCGAAAGGGCAATTGTTTTACAAGCAATTAGTTAAGAAGTCATCAGGAGAACTGGCATCCTGATCACAAAGGCTGAGGATCATGGACTCTCTGAAGGTGGAATCAGTAGTGAATCAATGTTTAACCAAGACTAGCTCTTCTGCCTCCAGCTGAAATTTAAATTCTTTGTAATACAACCTCCCGTCTTTGCATTCAAAAGTCCCTGACTTTTACTCCCTAGCAGACCATCTTTTGGGTTTCTATCTGAGTCTCTGTCTCCCGAATTACAATTCTAATTGCCCAAACAAATATCTGCTGTTTAAATTGCTGAGATTTTTCCTTGGTCTACACATTACCCCATAAAAAAATCCCATACCCATTAACAGTCACCCCCATACCTCCTATGCCCCCAGCTTTAGGCCACCACTAATCTACTTTGTGTCTATCGATTTGCTTATTGTGGACATTTTATGTAAATTGAATATAATGTGTGGTCCATATGATTTACTCGCCTTTCTTGTACAGCAATTTTCCTTTTTTACTTTAATGAGCAAATCACTTATCCTCCAGGGCTCAACTGTCTTAGCTGTAATATTGGGACTTACATGAGGACCAGCTCTAATGTCTACTTTATATCATTTTTTATGAATATGTCTTTTCTCCCAATCAGAATGGGCTACTGTGATGTTGTCATTTATAGTAAATATCTATTTTGGCTTCATCCCTGTTTCTGACAGACAGCTCCTAAAACCCTTGGAATTTCCAGTGTTGAGAGTGATAAAGGTGTCTTTTGTTATGTTGATAGGATGCCTTGGAAAGCACCCAAGGATGGAGATTGGTTGCCAGTGGAGGGACCATGGGATTAGAAGGTTGTAACTTTCAGTCCAACCCCCTGACCTCTGGGGAGGGGAGAGGGGCTTGGGATTGAGTTCAATCACCCAAGGTCAATGATTTAATCAGCCATGCCTATGTAATGAAGCCTCCATAAAAAACCAAACGGACAGTGTTTGGAGAGCTTCTGGGTTGGTGAACACTTGGAGTTTGGCAAGAGTGGTGAGCTCAGAGAGCTTGGAAGCTCCATGCCCTTTCCTCATACCTTGCCTTATGCATCTCTTCCATCTGGCTGTTCCTGAGTTACATCCTTTTATAATAGACTGATGATATAGTAAGTAAAATGTTTCTCTGAGTTCTTTGAGCCACTCTAGCAAGTTAATTGAACCTGAGAGGAGGTCATGGGAACCTCTGATTTATATCATTTGGTCAGAAGCCCACGTGACAACCTGGACTTGTGACTGGCATCTGAAGTGGCTTGGGGGCCTGTTTTGTACAACTGAACCCTTAATCTGTGGGAACTGAGTCTATCTTCATGTAGATAGTGTCAGAACTGGGTTGAAATCTAGGACACCCAGCTGGTATCCAAGAATTGTTGGAGGTATGGGAAAACTTCCCCCATACACATTGAAATAGGGTTCAGGAACCCAAGAAGACTACCTAGCAGGATAGTAGTTTTTCACTATTTACCCATTCAGCTGGATTGATGAGACATTTATTGAATAGATAAATGAATCAACAAAAACTTTAATTTACATCAGGACAGGGACCAGGGTAGGCAAATGAGGTGCTAGAGTGCAAAGCGTAAGGAA